ATGTTAATTTTACCAGTTTCGAAAGTGCAGTAAAAAAAAATGTCTACACAAGTAAACTGAGATAAATTGAATTACATTACTGAATTGGATTTTTATGTTAGATTTAAACATGTTGATTTCCAATCTATCAAGGATATGGCAATACTAGACATTCACATGAAACATGGTGAACACCGTTAACTACATGAACTATGGTTACAAACTGGCATCAAAGTGAATTAATCCTCAATAGTTGTGTGAAAATTTGCCTACTTAATTATACAACTTACAAACAACACCTCTTTTATAAAGACCAGAAACAAAACATCCACTTTCATTAATTTTTACTGTTGGTGGGTGAGGAAGTCACAACTCATAATAGTTGCAAAATAAATAATTGTATGTAAATCTACATGGACAACTTGCTGATGTTCAGCTGTACCTTGGTTGTAACCACAAATGCAAAGTAAGGTTTGGCCTCCTACATTAGCAGGGCAGGTCCTTTGGGTCTTGGTTCTGCCAAGGGTTTGAGATGGGTGGGATTGGCTTCGCTCAGCCCATCAATAGTACTAGGGACAGCAATTAATATCCTTATAGGAGCCAAGGAATGGTGCAACATCAACAAAATGGGACAGTGCTCTCTGACACTTTACTTCCTCTGTTTAACAGATTTAGATTGGGTCCAAGCCAAATGGGCTGAACATAGACTAGTGTCAGAGACAAAGATGAAGGGGAAAAGTAAAGTCCACATAATCAATAGTTGACGGTTCTCAGTATTTTTGCTGACTGAGGAAAATATGGAGTTCTCAACCCATATCTGTCACAACCATTCAGCCTCCTCTGTCTTCTTCTCATGTTTACTCTTTCCTGATTTTTATTCTAGGCTTTATTCTTACATTTACCTCTCCAACCTGTCTTGATGATTTCATCTTCATTAAAAAAAACAAACTTTCATTCTCTATCCTTTGATTTCTCAGTAGTGGAAAAACAGCAGAAGAGGAAGGAAGAGAACATAGCTGGGCTAACATCAGATGTGAATAGTTTACACACAGGCTGGGGACGGCTGCTGAAATGAGTAAAATACCAGCAAGAGTGGAAAAAGATCAAGGTGTATTTTTTTTCCCTACTTAAATACCAGTCAAAGCCATTTGTTCAATGATAAGCTCTGAATGCAAAAATTAGACAGCAAAAACCATGTATTTTGAAACCATTAGTGATGCAAACTCAAGCCTAAAATTCTAAAACGAGAATTGAATTGTGAAAATAGGTAGAAAATAACTTTTTCAGAAACTACATATCAATTTAAATAATCTCCCAGAGACTGCATAAATGCTAATGTTGAAACAGAAATTCAAAGTGCACTTTGGTGTATAAAATGATTCTTTTTACACAGAAAAATTTCCTTTTAAATCCTATAAGCAATTTCTGACTGGTATACTTTAAGAAGAAAAGTACGGCAGTAAGAAATGTTCCACTCTCCACAGTGACAATCATGCCGATGACTACAGAAGTGAAGCTGCCACAGGTAAATGATATCAGCAGGTACAGAGCAAAGACCAAATGACATTACAGGAGAAACACCGCTAGCAGCATGGCATCCACTCTCCTTTGAAGTGTGTTTGTCACATGAAACATAGCCTTGTTCGACTTCAAAGAGAGCATTACAAAAGCTCCACGCCTTTCAACTTTGATAACGCCTTTACCATTTACCACTTTCAACTTCCACAAAATATTGTTTTTTCAGCAGCACTGACAGTAAAAGGAAGAAGGATTGGTTGAAGCAAAAGCGTGCCCCACTGATTCAGGAAATGATTAAGGAAAGTAATTAAAAAGCAAAAATAGTGGGCTAAGATTATTCATTAATCCAATTATGAACACAGTATCCATTTCTCGTACATATGCTGTAGAAGAAACCCAAATGTTGGTTTTTGAAAGATAAATATGTATGTCCTTTCAAAGAACAGTCACATCTCAGTTCTGGACATTTGTCAATTGAAACCGAAAGAGAACATCCCACAGGGAAAAAAAAAAAAAGACTTCAAGGTCACTGTGTGGTTTCTAAAAGTCCTCATATTTCAATTTAATTAGGTGTGACAGGATTTTTGGAAATCTAGAACCCACCTGACACAGTACAGGGTGCAGAGGATCTACTGTTGTCAGCATACTTTCGAGGACACCCATTAATCTTCCAGGTTTGACAAAAAGCACTGATCAGACCGGTCAGTGCTTTTTGAATTGTGAAACAGAGACCCCCTAAGATTTAGAGAGGTGGGTATAATGTGACAACAGAAAAATGTAAAACAAAATACCATTCTTTTAAAGTAAAGCCATGGGCTACTTTAGAAGATGAATGGACAACCCAGGAGATCACAAAAGTCTTCTGTTTGCTTGCTAGTAAAGGGCACATTATACTGCAGAGTTTAAGAAACTGAGTCCCCTTGCAGAGAACCTCACCTTACCTGCAATCATGGAGATAATCAGAAAAGATCGACTATACCTGTCACATGATTTTAAGTCTGCAGATTCTATTTTTTTGTCAAATCTGCAGACAAAGAAACATGCGAGACATGCTTGGGACAGGCAATTCCACAGATCTCACTACTAATTCTGTATGCAATGTCTATTTTTTCAGTTTGCCTGACTTGTTGCTACTTAGGTTGAGTAGAACTAAGCTTGGACATGTCTACTTATGTTGAAAGTAATGGCACCTGCCTCAATGACAGGAAAAAAGCTGTGAGGTTGTAAGGTGTGGATAAGTGTGGGATTTGAGAATCCTGCTATTAACAATACACAGCCACAAATGCTTCCTCAGTGTTATAAATGATTATTATGGGACAGGGCTAATAAGAAATATCTTAACACACAAAAGTCACAAATACTCCGTCTTCGGTCCATTTAAACAGGACCACATGCGACACTCTGACACGTTGCTCCCTCTCACAGCACCAGGAGCTGCTGTCTCGTAGCAGGTGGCGGTGGGCGATAAAGGGGTGGGGGGCGATCAACGAAAAGATAGAGCCACAATGACAGGCAGGGAAGAGCGACTGCACGGAAATTGAATCGCTGAAGCGTCACATATACTTTAGAAAAAACAGCAGAGAGATGGGAAAAGATGGAGTAGAGAGAGCAAAGACAGACAAAGAGGAGAAGGATACTTAAGGAAGGCTAAAAGGAGTGCATGCCAGGCCTGACTAATTTGAATATTGGTAATAAAAGCAGCAGAATATTAGAGCAAGATGGGATAAAATAGAGGAGAAAAAATCTGGAAGAACCTTGCTACATGTTCATAGCTAATAACTCTTTTCAATTAAAAAAAAAAAAACAACAAAAAAAAGCACTGACGATTAAAATGTTAATAAAATTAACTCCTGCCACACAAGGATTAAATCTTACCTGATTTAGTTCTTGCAGAACTTTACACTGTAATGTTTTCACATTATATATACGTATATGGTGAAATACTCAGCTTTTCCAAGTCTTGTTACGTTTGAGCCTGTCATGAATGTCTGTAGGACAAATTGAAATATCTAGGTTTATTTGAGTCCATCAGAACCACAACATAAAGGTTCCCCATTACTGAGTGTTGCTGCAAACATCAGCGGAGAGCTGACCACAGCCGCTACTCGCTCACACCCTGCTCAGTAGAGAGGAACAGACTGTCTAATGGAGAAGCTCACTACTGGGGGTAAAACCGAACCACACATTAACCGGTTAGTGCGTGAATTGCCAGTAGAAAAGCGCCTACAGCTCCCAAGTAGGGAGCAATGACTGAAATACCAACTTCAGGACCATGTACTTGCCATAAGGTATCAAAATATATTTTCTCACAATGCTTGCACATCATTCATGCCTTTGTATGGAGTTGTTTGTTTTTTCTACCGGGCACCCAAAAAGTCCATTTGAAAGTGCTTCAATTTAAAATGTAAAACACCACAAGGGAAACTCAAGAGTTACTTCCTTTGAGACTGAGTCTTATGCTAGTGCCAAGATAAAGATAGAATATTGGCCAATATTATCCCAATATTAAGGCATAATATTCACACTAGCCAATATATTCGTTTGGCAATGTCTGGAACTTATAGTAAAAGCTTAAGATTTTCCTACATAACTATAAAAGTGAACACAAGCGGCAACAAAGCAAGCCAAAGCATTGAAATGCTTTGCTACTGTCTGTGCTCCCATGTCTTGCTTCTTTTTTTTAAGTTTCCATCTTTGGATCAGACTGTCAGAGAGAAATCCAATTTCTCCTAACAGCATCATGTTGTCCTGATAGGATCTATCACCTGAAGCAGCCAGAAAGCCAAAGCAATGTGGACACCTGTTACAACATTTGCAAACACACACACACAGATTTCCCAGAGAAGCCAAGGAGGAATAAATCGGCTTATTTTCAAAGTTAACTTCTTCATGTGAAATAACAAAAGAAACCAATAGAGCAAAAGAAAATATGCATATCCTTTTAAAACCAACATTAATGTTGTACAGTAACAGGTATTTGTAATAGACTAATGAACTATGTTACTGCAAAATAAAAATAAAAACATAGCAAAGAAAACAACTTGAGACATGGCCAGTTTCATGAGTTCTTCTTGTATTGTCTTGACATTTTAAAGAAGACAATTAAATATACATGATAAATAAACTAATTTTGTACCATAATGATTAAAGCATGGTAAAAGAAAAGGTAGAGGTTGAAAACCAAACTACTGTTAAAAATGTTAAAATCAAGGCATGATATGGCAAGTGAACAAAAGAGCGTATTGTTTGAGGATTGCTACATTTGAAAATGGCTGCATTATAAAACATTATTTTTGTCCTCTGGAAAATGGAAGCAGACATCTGGAAAGGAATGTGAAATAATACAAATTCAACAGAACAAGGTGCAAGTATTACCCTTTCAGCCACACATCCAGGACTGAGACAGAATAATAAATACCAGCAGTTGTAAAGTAATTTTACAAAGATTATCGACAGGGAAGAAGCTCTGCTAACTGTTAATGACTGAAAAGCATGCAGTATACCTTCATAGCCTGGGCCTTCTTGTGAAACATCTCTTCCATGTTCTTAGCCAGCCTCTTCACCAGTCGTAACCCATCAATCTCCTCCACCCTCACCGCCCGCTCAAACTCCTTGTATTTCTGAAAAGAGAAACAAAGGTTCAGATCATTAGATCGCAATTACTGTCACTGTTAACAGAAATTATACATTGTTTTGTAAACTGTTGGCAGATGAAGAATGCTACTGATCATGAAATATGTCTGCTACAGTACTTATTGCAAGAATACACTGCCTCCCAAGTCTTAACTTTACAGAACCTCTCCTTCAAACTAACCCTTTAATTCATGTTTACATCTCAATAGAACATTATGAACTATTTGTTCATAATGCTCTATGCATTATCATAGAGCCCATGATAACGCATATCTATGTAGTTTATGGAAAGGTTATCAAGAAATAGATTTTTTTTTTTTACCCAGAGTCAACAAAAGAATCATATCAAAATTTTGATTTTTAACAACAGCATTTAGGATTCAACTGCAGGCTTTGCAGTCAGCTACTTGGACAACCCAGCAAATCCGATAAAGATAATGAGAAACTTGGCCCATTCTCATAAGACAATGACTTTCATTTTCTTGTGTTAACAAGATTATTTTCTTATCTCAAGAAAATGACAGACAAATTTATAGCTTGAACGGCTCTTCTTGGCTTTTGTAGTAACCGAGTAGACTTAAATAATTGATGGCTTTTTCTAGCCATATTAGCCTGGCTATTGCCTTCCTATGATATTCTGCTTGAAACAAATATTGCATACAGCACAGTCTGGGCTTTCTCCCCTTGTTTGCCACATTTTCAAATATTAAATTGATATTAGCAGCTGCCTCGTTGGGCTCTGCACTTCTCTCTTCACAACAGAGGATGGTTGTTTACTGTGCAGGCAATTTGGTAGGCTTCATAGCATTAACTCCATACGTCACAAGAAAACATTAACAATTAGGTAAAATTTTAAAACTCACAGTCCATGCCTCCAGGAAGTAGTAATTTCTCAACACCCAAGAACAAAGTATAGTGCAGAGGGCTGGTTTTTACCAGGCTATAGACATACAAACCCACCACAGACACTACAAGTCATCTTCATTCATGTGAACTGACAGAATCACGTTCATACACTGAAACACAAATCTATAGAAAACATACAGTTTAGGATTTTGCTCAAAGACACTTCAACATGTGTTTGAGTCAAAGCTGAAATTGAACTCAACTTCTCAATAGCCAGGACACTCACATATAACACATGTAGTCAAGAGTGGCAGAAACAAAATTACAACACTGTTTACATACAATGTGATAAGTACTGGAGTGTTAAAATTACAATATCAGTAATTCTGAAGTGGAAAATAACTAGAGAAGTTTTTTTTTTTCAAACTAATCTACATATAAATGAAACCAATCAGCTAAACCAGGAATTATCTGCCAGCTTCAAGTTTTACAGCACAATGAACACTGATGACACACCACTGCCCCCAGTATCTGCAGAACACATAATCACATTATTCAACTATAAACCTTCACTGGGGTGCTCAGCTCAACAGGGGCCTTAACCGGAGACACTGACATAAAGTCCCGCTAATTCAACATCCAAGCCTACTGCAGACATACATGAGGCTGTAGAGAAAATGAAAACAAAATATGTTTTGATATATTCAAAGCTACAGGAGGATGGGTTTCATTCTTGTGTGCTTTAACACAAATTCTACTACCATCTTATATTATATGCAATATATAAAACGTATATGCTAATGTAAATGTCATAAACTAAACGTTTCATATGTTTTTAGTAACTCATGAACAAAATTACATATAGATAGTAAAGTGTAGAAGATGGAGATAACAGGAGAAAGAGAATAAGGGAACAGCATCACACAGTTGAGTAATGAAAAAAATCCATAAGAGTTTGCTTACACAAAAGCTTTTGATAAGGACAAATTCCATTATTGCAGCCGAGTGTAATATATGATAAAACAAAGAGACCAAGATAAAATATCCTATTACTTAATTATTAAGTGAGCTGATAAATCTATACTGTTTTACTAAAACACAGAAACTTTACAATGAATCACAAAAGGACAGAATGCAACTCCAATTTTGATTGTTGTATTCAAGCAAAAAAAAAAAAAACTCAGAAAGATAATTATAACTTCTACTCAGTTTAATTCAGTTTATTTATATCTGGCCGGAGCATTAATGCACAATAAATGTTAACACTGCACAAAGGAAATTCTGGATCTTATAGTTTTATAAAAGAAAACTGTATGTTCAATATTGCATATAAACTTCATAGCGATCGAAGGAAACACCTTCACTGGCATTACATTTGTCAAACCTCTAGGGTGTAATAGGGCTTTTTTGGCTTATTCCCACTCATATTTTCATAATGAAGCATCTGCATATGGATCTTTGGGTAGTCTTACTACTTCCTGCATCAGAACAGCTAATTAATTGCTGCCTCAAATATATCTGAGCTGTAACCAATCAAAGTGACTGGCTGATGACTCAGATGCCAAATCACAGAGACCATAACAGCAGAAAAACTGGAACCTTAATCCCACTGGCTGACTGAGAGCTGCTGTTTGACACAGGGACGAGAAATCCAGGTTTTAAAGCAATCCTGCTTCCTGACTCACTGTAGACGGTTTTTAAAGCTGACAGTTTAGTAGCGGTTCAAACATGAACTGGTCTGACAGTTTTCTTCACCGATTTTCTTAGTCCATTTTCCTTCTCCCAAGGCTTTCTCCTTTTTAAGGATCTCCTGCTTCACACATTATTCTCTTTTTCTCCATCCTGTTCCAACTTTCTTTGCAAAATCTAAAAAGGACTTAAAACATTCATGCAATTGCAACTAATAATAGTTACAATTTTAAAGAAGTGTTTTTGAGATTAATTCAACAGTTTGGTCAACCTGACAGTTATCACACACAGACCTAAAGAGAGCATAGATTTTCTGCAGTCAGCCTGTAGTAGTCATGTGTTTGTGATCATGTTTGTGTGTTCAATGAGACGCTAACAGGATCCTACTGACCACACGCTGTCTGCAGCGCTTTGTTCAGTCAGGCTGACTGGAGCAGACCAGGCCCAATTACCCGGAAGCTACCCTCTTCACTTCAAATCATCATCAAAGAAAAGCCGGCTGACATATATCTAACAACATCCAACCACCTTTTATGAGCAAAGAGGGATAGAAAACCTTCACACTGAACTGAAATAGCAAAACATGGTGATCAGTTCAATTGACCAGAAAAGTTATGAGTGGGAATCTGTAATACGTGCCTGGCATGTTTACAGAAAGAGGGAAATACCCCAGCAGCTTAGCAATCAGATGATCTGCAATGTCATGCACTTATGGAGAAGAAACTTTTAACAGACCTGAAGGTCCACCTTCTCTTCAGCCTTTTTTCAATTCCAGGAATGATTACTTCAATGGTCTTTATGTCAGGGTACCCCAGTTATCACTGAGCCGCCTCCAATATGTGCAGAATGGAGAAGCTCACAAATTATCCAACTCCTAAATGGTCCAGGATTACATGTTTTGTCATCACTGAATTCACTTATATTTGTTTTTAAAGATGTTCAATGACAATAAACACATTCTAAATTAAATAAGAAAATAAATGCACTTCCATACTTCTGTCAAACATGTTTGACACATGAGACATTTTTCTTTTCTCTTATTTGCATACACACAGATATATCCACTTATAAAAATAGCACTTCCCAGAATCTCTGTACTGGCACAAGGATTTAAGGATCTCCTCACTCAATAATTACAGAAATATTTTAAGCACATAAATAATCACAACTTCTAATTAAAAACTCATAATTCTAACACAATTATAACTGCAAAAGACTTAAATAGAAACAGAATTATTGCCGTCTTATTACATGGACACTTGCTGCCTTCCTTATTATTTAACAAGGAGGAACATTAACATAAGAAAGGGTGAAAGGATATAGAAATTTGCAGCAAGAAGCTGTTTTATGAATGATAAATTCATAGAGTAATGACTTGTCCCTCTCAAACTGGGTTATTTGTGTTTCATTCATGAAAAGGAACCATGTTTGTTTTGTTCTCATCTGTTTACTTCTTAGACAGCAAAGAGAGGAGGGTGGTTTGATGAACAAAAGTGCAGTTAAGTCCAAGTGAGAAAGCATCTCTCAGAAAAAAGAACAAGGACATGGACTCTTATAAAACCACGTACACTCAGAGTCCTTGAAAGGATATACGCAACAAAACATATCAACTTGAATTTTTTGTCCTTGCCCCAATATTGCCATAAAATCAAACATGCAAACCTTTTTCAATATACACAATAGGCTAATATTTCCCAAATATTGTTAAAATCTGTCTAAATTGATGTCAGTGAGTACTTTTCCTATGGCAATTTGTTGGATGAACCTTCCTGTTCATAGGTGTGGCATATCAATGTGCAACATCAATGATTATTGCAATGGGGTGACTTGGATGGCCACTAGAAAATTACATTCTGTATATTTACTTAACACATCCAACTGTATGCATCAGCAGGTGAAAATAAATTCTCTGTTTCAGTGCACTTGATTGACAAAAGTGGAAAATCCATCAGAATGTGGTAGAGCTCTCTGAATGTTTGTTTTCAAGGGAATAATCAACCAATTATTGATCAATGATCAGCAACATATCACTGCAAATAGCTTAGAAACAGAAAAGTAAGATGTTTCACAATCTATAAAAATTGAAGCGTTTAAAGAGTTACAATTTTTATGGGTTCTAACTTAATATGTCCATGCAAATACAGTCAGAAAAAAAATCAAAATAGCATTAATTAAGGAAAAAGTAAATGTAAGAAAGGAGAATAAGCATCTGCAGTCTAAATGTGAACAAATTTGTAATTTTCCAGTACAATTTTAATCACACACAAAAAAGAAAAAAAAAAAGCAATGGTGCCTGATAAATTGTTAAATTAAATCTTAGGAAATAAACTGACAACAAGAAAGAATTTTCTTCTGGATAAAAAGCATCATCTTGTTTCAGTTGCAGTTCAAACTCTCCGTTTTAAAATGGTTTTTCTATGCATGTTGAGGAAAAGTAACGTCTTGCAGCTTC